TTTGCAGAAAACGAGATCCTGCTTGGTACTGATTTTTTTCGATTTCAGAAAAGTATTCACAAGAGTCGAAAGCCATTTTTGTCTAATCAGGAGGTCAAGCTAAGTGAAAACAAACTTTCAGGAATAAAAAGAAAAGCCTTCCCTTAATCTCAACTAGTGTGCGCCGAAAAGTATTATACAAATAAACCGAAATAACGAACATGCTCTTCTTGTGATGAAATTCAGTCAAAATGCTTTCATTTCGTCCTGATAAACATCGGTTCTACTCGTTGTCAAGTGTCGCCTTTTTCATTTCATACATCCAGACCAAATCCACATCAACCGTAGAACATGATTTCAGCGTAATAATGAATTAATTAGAATCGCTTTATCCAGTAAAAGTGCTTCTCAACATTCCGAAAATATTCTGCACTCCTATTAAATTGAGATTCAAGGTACTAAATTCTCTCCAACTGACAACTAACGTTATTCTATTTATTCCTATTAGAAAAAAACAAACACTAACGCTAATCTAGTCTTTCTATACCTCACTCGATATGCTGCAGTTAATTGTTATTTATTGAAATCAAAAACTACAAAAGTGAGCATAAAAATTATGACAAGCATCATTTTTATTTTACTTTTCATAGTGAACACGATAAATAGCTTAGATCCTATGGTTGTTTGGGCGAAAATATCCGAAGTGCGAAATAAGTATCAATTTGAATGACAAAATTGCGATTCGGATGGGAGTGAAGGTGAGCCTCACTCTTCTCCTCATCCGTCCACAACCCTTTGAACTACTGAGAGAATGCTGAAATATTGGGCAAATACTGATACATTCACTTATTCTGATGTACCCTTTGGATTATCTAACTCTAGTTTCTTGTACAGTTCTCATTTATTTGTAATAACTAAGTACAACATCGAGCAAATAGCAATTTAAAGCCCAACTTTTAGTTATACAGAGATCAATGTTTCCTCAAGAACTTTTTCTAAGCCTTCTTTACCTCGAAAATATTGTTATTTGATACCGAAGACAATACAAAATTGAGACTTCTAGGGGAGATTGTGTTAAGTGTATAATTCTCTGAATCTGACGGACCGAGAAATCAATATTTGAGCCTATTCCAACCTAAAATACCTTACTCTAGAGTAAAGCTTAAGGAACTCAAGCCTTACCTATTCGCTGCTTATGAACAAGTTGCATTATTATAATGATTTATGCAGGAAATGTGCTACAAAATTTTCATAATATTATGACAATATTGTGTAAAATTGAAAAATTATGAAATAGTGAGTAAACAACCGCAATAAATGGATGATATTATTTCAAAACACACAGCAATCGTATATCGCAATCAAAATGATGGATTATAATACATATTTAATGATAATTCAATTAGGAATGTACGTTTCACGTCAATTCTAGGCTTAGAAGTATAACCGAAGAAGTTAAACTCCTAGAATACATGTAATAAATAATTAAAACTCTTTAACTGTTAATGACAAGGAATATACGTGCATACTCACATCAATATACGGTGCTAGTGTTGTGTCACAAATGACAGAATTGATTGTGTCATGGAGGAAAGAAAAGTAAACAAACTTTACTTGGATAGAAACCACGCAGCTGCACTTCTACATCAGTATACTTATTGAAGTATCACGTAATCACCACTATGTATCTTACGCAATAGTGTACTTCAGATATACTACATACAATGGACTCGCTGATAACATACGTAACAGTTGAAAAGAAATTCATATGTAATCAGAAACACAGCATATATATTAAATGAAATATTCTTCTTAAAGTGATTGAAGCAACTAGAGATATACGTAATAATTTATGTTAATACTGGAATCAGAAGTGGCTGCTCTGCAAAGCTTATAGTGCTATACTAAGTTGTAGGAAAATCACCACAGATGTTTACTTCATGGTGTATGTATGACTTCAGAAATGTTATACAACGCACTGTTGGAACTGGTTGAGTCCTCTCAACCGAGCCAAATCGATCGGTTAAAATTCTTGATTTAACTAGCAAAGAAAACGCCGAATACTGATTCCTTTGATGAATCTATTGACGAAATTGTTCTTTTAAGAAAAAACTTTAATTACAGATCATTGAAAATGGGCAACTTACAAATTAATGAACTTTGAAAAGAAGAGCCAGCAAGTTTTGTAGCTATACTTACATTTACGCGTTCAAGTAGGCTGAAAAAAGTGAGATTGAAACTTCGAGGTGAAAATCTTTAGTTTAGATTCGAATTAAGTTATAATAGACGGTTAAATTTCCAAACCATAATCAACACAATCAGCATTATCTGAGGTTTCCATTGTGTGACGAGGAAGTGCGATCTCGAAATTTAGAAATAAAACTTTGGTGGCAGCCACAATTTTGTTAGATGGAAATTTTCGAGCTCATATTTCAGGATCATTGTAGTCAGTAATATCAATAAGGAGTAAAATAGCTAAGCTTCACTTCTCTAACAATGGATAAGAAAAACGGTAAAAACTAGTGTAAATCGTCCAACTATGAAATTTCAATCCGGTGGTACTTGTAGCCGAGAACTGGCAAACTGCTCACTCCGATTCCAAGCTTAAGAAAATGTTGAAGACTTCTTTTGATTCGCAACATCAGGAGTTATTTAAAGTATAGGGAGTCAAGCTCTAGCGCTTTTCAAAATTCTAGTAGAATTTGAAAATAAGTATATATGGAACGCCATATTGCTATTGCCTATTTTTTAAGTTTCAAACTAAATAGAAATATTGCAAAAAGGAAAACAATCAAGCACACATGAAATCTATTAAAGCACAAGATCGTCTTTCAGCCAGTACAGTATTGGCCTAATGAACAACAATTTGACAATGTGTCATTATAATGAATATGAAAAGCTATTGGTGTCAATAATAAATTTACAATGGATCTGCTTCGAAAAGATATTGAATCTTTATTGGATTTTGAGAAATTTCATATTTGCATAGTATTCACTCATCAAGTACCATATTTTACAATATTGTCAACCATAAACTGTATAAGAACAATTATTAGATCTTTTGTTCGCTGGATTATCATGAGAACCCAACATGCGTACCGACGTATCAAATAACTTTGCATTTTATACAGTACTTTTCTGAAAACAAATGGGATAAGTATTTTAATCGTAACTGGAAACCTTTGCTTCAAATAGAGTAGGAGGATAACTTTTTAACAAATATCAAATGCACAAATTATTGTATGCGTTTTCCAGTCTCACGCTGGCATATTTTCCAACGGATAAGGGTGCAACAAATCTTGAATAGATTTGGGATTTGGCACCAAATCTTTGAGATTTGGACTTGGATTTGGATTTGGTTTCTGGATTTGGGTATGGTTCGGATTTAGTTCCTAGATGTGGATTTCATCTAGATTTGAATCTCAGGATTGCTGCTATCGCTTTGTTTGGCTGAGATTCGGGATTCAGAATTGGTGATATGCTTGAAATTTGGGATTTGGATTTGGACTTGGATTTGGGTTTGGGTCTTAGATTTGGATTTGGACTTGGGATTTGGTTTCAGTCTAATATGGCTCTAACTTTGTAGTCTTGTTAAATTGAAACCAAATCTCAAGCTCCAAATCCAAATCCCAAACCCAAATCCTACCCAAATCCCAACCTGCTATACACTAAATCTCAAATCCAAATCTAAGATCCAAATCCAAATCCCAAAACCCAAATCTATACCAAATCCAATGCATTTCATATTAATTTATAAGACGGGATTCTTTTCTCCCTTCTGGGACTTTATTTTACAAAGACTCGTCATATTTGGGTAATTTAAGACCAAACCCAAACCCAAATCCAAATCCAAATACTAGTCTAGAACAAACCCATATCTTTTTGTACCAAATCCCAAGGCTTTGGGTTTGTTGCACCCCTACCAACGGATATCAATCCAAAATTAGTATCTAGCTCATGATAATAGTTTGGCACTTTTTTAAGCTCCGTCGGCTCCATACCGACTAAACTATCAATTTTGAACTTCTTGCAGAATTTTAATTTCGTCAATAATTATAAACATGCTTTGTAAAATTTATTAACGAATTAGTAAGAGCGTCAGAAAGACAGTCTTTTCTATAGTAACTAAACTAATTAGATAACTAGACTCAAAGTTCAGTTTCTGGTGTGGATAAGTAACATTCCAGTATTCGGTCGATTCTTTTATATAAACGATTGATACGATGTGTAAGACATTCAAATTTGTTTAGGTAATGCTGTATTGTGCGTTGTTTTGGTATGGTTGGTGTCTTTTGACGATCAGAGGCAAGTCGTCGAACAATTCGTGGTCGGTAGAGACGCGTTTGATATCGTTGTTTACGTGGTAATTTTAAGGAAATTGGTGCTAATAGAGGATTATCAGACTGATTAGTTGGTGGTGTTGGAGGAACTTGTCGGTCAGTGAAACCAAATGAGTCACATTGAGATACATCTGATGTCGCCAGTAGGGTTGTTTCGTGTGCAACATTATAGTTTGAGAAGTCACTGTCTTGATCGGACGTACAAACTGATTGTAGTTCAGGTTGAGTAAATAAATTCTTGGGTGATTCTGAGGTCAGTTCACGCCTGGGAAAATTTCCCGAAGCAAGGATTGTAATCGAGCACTTTAATTCATTTTGAAGATCATCTGTACTAAGTATCTCGATTTCTTCTTCATTTGTTTCGTGTAAATCTTCTGAAATATCTTCAATTATATGTTCTTGTTCTTTGAAGCTGTTGAAACTAGATCTTTCATCATAGACCATCAATGATTGTGGTGATAGATAGTGATAATCCTTTTGCAATGGGTCTTGTTCATAGCTAAAATCAAAATAAACAAGCTTAAGTTCAAGTACTCATAGCATTTAGATGATATCAGTTATTCAAGTGAGAACAAGAATTTTGATGAAACTATCATTAGTTATAAACTTTGTGTCGAAGGCCTTATACATATATATCTATCAATGAAATACGCTTCTAAATATTACGACAATAGTCTAATTATTGAGCTTCCAGAAACTTACTGCTTAGTGTGATGAGTGAAGAAATTGTTGATTCTTTCGATTGCTTCTGTTGAAGAGATTTTACGATAAATCTGTACAATTTTGCGTGGAATATGTCTGTTACTTAAGATATAAGTCACATATCGTTGATAGTTTTCTTGAAATCGACCTTTACACTCAAATAGAATACACTCCTCTTCTATACCGACATTACACCAATGAATATCCATAAGTACAGTATGAAAGCAAAGTTCTTCTAAAAATATCATCAACAACAAATATATTAATCAATTATAAGAGAATAATTATATGTCATCATATTATCAATATTTCATACAAATAAAATATGGTCGTCATGAGAACGAACACAATTTCATATTGCTTTCTTATTTTTATGGTACATAAATGACAGAAGTGACCGTAGATTGTTTCATTCTGATACAAAGCGGGCATTGAATTCTTTTTCTTCCTTTCTGATTTTTTTTTCATTTTCTCCGTGGTTAGTATTCGTGACCGTTTGAATGCAGCTGCTTGTTCTGATTGTATGAGTGACTACGCTATTATGTTATAACGTATAGACGGCGCATGTATTCTTTAATAAGTGCCTAAATGGATTGATCTCAATTTACTGTATAGTAGTTCATGAACTAAATTTCGACTAAAGATTGACTCTATTCAACTTATTCTCATTCCAATTTATTTTGGAGAATACATGCTTCTTTATGTGTTCATTGACTCTTGTGGTTCATATTTCTTGGAAAAAAAGAAAAAAAAGAATTATAAAAATTTCTCATGCATGTCAACGAAATACTAAATGAGCTCTTATTAATCAAGAAAATAACGTCTTCTTTGTCATTTCTATCGACATCTACATCACAGATAATTATTCTTTTTAATCTTCTTTTAACTATAATTGTTTTCAATTAAAATAGTATGATCTCTTCGGTCGAATATAAATAAAAATTTTGAAAAAATAGAGATCACAATAGGCAAAAATAAAAAGAAATGATTTCAATTATGAAATATGAATCAGGCATCGTTTAACATTAGATATTTGACCGCTGTAGGACACATAGGCACTATGCCACTTTTACTTTATCAAAATCAACGTTTTGGATAAAAATGATATTGTTTATATTACGCATTCTGATGAATTTCTCCGATCCGATTTTGACCACATTATATAAATTTTGTTCGCATAAAATGTCATACAGATGATCTATTGAAGTTCCAATGATTGTAAATGTATCGCTGAAATTTCCTTCTTAGTATTTCCAAAAACAACCAATCAGAACATCTTCCTCTGTTCTTTTTTCATTCAGTCATGTACCATTACAAGTATCAGCCCAAGGTATGCGGGGCATCGAGTTTCGGTGTCCCGTCCGACCCATCCTCCGTCACTTGCCAGCCCACCTCGTCGATCCTCGTGGGTAATTTTTCTGAGTATCCCCCGTCCCTGCCTCGCTCCGTTCATCCTCTACTCCATCCTATTTGCTCCTATGAAACCCGAAACAAGTTTCTATTCATCATTTAGTTCTTTTGCAGTGAGTTATTCTACATTATTGATTAACATATGATAAAAAAATCTGAGAGGAAGTTTATACATGACTTTTTGAATGAGCCGATGAACGAGAGGCACCCGCTGACATCATAGTATCAAACGATTCATCAAATGATAAATCAAGTAATTCGATCATTGTTATTGATAAAAGACAGAACAAATTCCAAAAA